TCAGGTGCAAGTCCAACTCAAATCCAACCCCTTTCACTCGTGTATTTATCCAACCTAAATTTGAAACTACCCAAGCCATAGCTTTTAGAACATTGGAAAGGAGGAACACTGCAATAAGCCTGTTGGCCCATACTAGGCTGGTCCTTCACAAATCCAACCCACTAACAGAACAAATGCTACCCAAGCAATAAGCTCATGTGCAAGTCCGACTCAAATCCAACCCCTTTCACTCGTGTATTTATCCAACCTAAATTTTAAACTACCCAATGTTTTAGCTTCCATCACCCTACTAGGCAGACCGTTCCACTCATCAACTACCCCTATTACCAATGTTCATTTATACATTTCATTAGTGCCCTAGAGTCCTTATGGAGAGGGATTCCCCTTCCAAATAACCTCTCTTCCCTCTCTCCTCCTCCCCATCTTCCATTCATCAACAACAGTCTTCAATAAAGGTAACTGTCATGTTGAATGTTCATTCTTTTGTGCATGTAAATCTATCTTTTAGGTAAAAAAAAAAAAAATGTTGTTGATACTTCTAGGTGTCTGGAACGAATTAATTTGATTTACATTATTTCTTAGGGGAAAATTGATTCGAAAATCGTCCATTTCGATAATAGTCCCACTTCCAGGAATGGATTATGGATGATTATTGAGGGACCACTGTAGTAGTATGTCACTGATGTCAGCTAGGCCTGTATACCTTGTACGTGTACTTGTAAAAAGTTTTTTTTTTATGAACACACTGGCCGTTTCCCACCATGGTAGGGTGGCCCAAAAAAGAAAAACTTTCACCATCATTCACTCCATCACTGTCTTGCAAGAGGTGCACTTACACTACAGTTATATAACTGCAACATTAACACCCCTCCTTCAGAGTGCAGGCACAGTATTTCCCATCACCAGGACTCAAGTCTGGCCTGCCGGTTTCACTGAATCCTCCATAAATATTACCCTGCTTACACTCCAACAGCACATCAAGTCCTAAAAACCATTTGTCTCCATTCGCTCCTAACACGCTCACGAATGTTCGCAGAAAGTCCTAGCCCCTCGCACACAAAACCTCCTTTACCCCCTCCCTCCAACCTTTCCTAGACCGAACTCTACCTCACCTTCCCTCCACTACAGATTTATACACTCTTAAAGTCATTCTATTTTGTTCCACCCTCTCTACATGTCCGAACCACCTCAACAACCCCTCCTCAGCCTTCTGGATAACAGTTTTGGTAATCTCACACCACCTCCTAATTTCCAAACTATGAATTCTCTGCATTATATTCACACCACAAATTGCCCTCAGACAACATCTCCACTGCCTCCAGCCTTCTCCTTGTTGCAACATTCACCACCCGTGCTTCACACCCATATAAGAGCATTTGTATAACTATACTCTCATACATTCCCCAATTGCTTTCGTGAACAAAGTTCTCTGTCTCCACAGACTCTTCAGTGCACCACTCACCTATTTCCCTCTCATCAATTCTATGATTCACCTCATCTTTCACAGACCCATCTGCTGACATGTCCACTCCTAAATATCTGAATACATTCACCTCCTCTATACTCTCTCCCTCCAATCTGATATCCAATCTTTTGTTACCTAATTTTTTTATCACCTCACTCTTTCCTGTATTCGTTTTTAATTTTCTTCTTTTACATACCCTACCAAACTCATCCACCAACCTCTGCAACTTCTCTTCAGAATCTCCCAAAAGCAGTGTCGTCAGCAAAGAGCAACAATAATTCACAAAGGTGTGTACTACTCAGAGTGAGCTATGCCACAGCCATATTTTATCCAGGAAACGCACCAAAATTCAGGTATTGGAACTTTTTGATAGCACCTATTATATGTACAAAATACAGAAGTGTAATTTATTAGGAGATAATTTTTTTTCAGCTGATGTAAACTACAGCCCATAAAAGTAGCAAAGGTATTGCTGTAAATATTTTGGTAGCAACAGCATGGTCTCCCATGACAGTACTATTGAACCTGATATTGTTTTTGAAAGTTTTTCTACTCTTGTAGCCTGCTTGATGCACCATAATGTTTACAGCCACTATTAAAGGTTATTCCATAAAACCTTAGTAAAAATAAATTATTATTTAACCTTACCAGAAAATTCTATACCTTATGAAGCTATAAAGGTTTGAAACTCCTAATTTAAAATAACTACATGCACAGTTATTACTGTTAGGGTCACTTCTCTTTTCCACCTTTACCAAAATTCTCCTAGACTACTGTCCTACATCCAGTGATGTACATACAGGATACAAACAGCCCAAAACTCAAACAATTATTTAAGTGTATTTATGTAAGTGCTTTTGTAAGTGTATTTTTGGGGTCTGAAAAGGATTAATCTAATTTACATTATTCCTTATGGGAACAAATGCGTTTGGTATCGGCACTTGAACAGCCTTCTGGAACGAAATAAATTCATATCCCGAGGTACCACGTATTTTGTTAAGGCTTGAGTGAACATAAGAACATAAGAAAGGAGGAACACTGCAGCAGGCCTGTTGGCCCATACTAGGCAGGTCCTTTACAATTCATCCCACTAACAAACATTTGACCAACCCAATTTTCAATGCTACCCAAGAAATAAGCTCTGATGTGCAAGTCCCACTCAAATCCAACCCCTCCCACTCATGTACTTATCCAACCTAAATTTGAAACTACCCAAAGTCCTAGCCTCAATAACCCAACTAGGTAGACTGTTCCACTCATCAACTACCCTATTTCTAAACCAATACTTTCCTATGTTCTTTCTAAATCTAAACTTATCTAATTTAAATCCATTACTGCGGGTTCTCTCTTGGAGAGATATCCTCAAGACCTTGTTAATATCCCCTTTATTAATACCTATCTTCCACTTATACACTTCGATCAGGTCTCCCCTCATTCTTCGTCTAACAAGTGAATGTAATTTAAGAGTCTTCAATCTTTCTTCATAAGGAAGATTTCTAATGCTATGTATTAATTTAGTCATCCTACGCTGAATGTTTTCTAACAAATTTATGTCCATTCTGTAATATGGAGACCAGAATTGAGCTGCATAATCTAGGTGAGGCCTTACTAATGATGTATAAAGCTGCAGTATGACCTCTGGACTTCTGTTGCTTACACTTCTTGATATAAATCCCAGTAATCTATTTACCTTATTACATACGCTTAGGCATTGCTGTCTTGGTTTAAGGTTACTGCTTACCATAACCCCCAAGTCCTTTTCGCAATCTGTATGGCTAAGTTCTACATTATTTAACTTATAAGTGCTAGGGTTATGGACACTCCCGAGCTTCAGAACCTTGCATTTATCTACATTGAACTGCATCTGCCACTTTTCTGACCAAGAGTAGTTTGTCTAAATCTTTCTGAAGTTCCCTAACATCTACGTTTAAATCAATTATCCTACCTATCTTTGTGTCATCGGCGAATTTGCTCATATCACTAGTAATTCCTTCATCAAGATCATTGATATATATTATAAACAACAACGGGCCCAAGACTGATCCCTGTGGAACGCCACTTGTTACTGATCCCCACTCGGATTTAACCCCATTTATGGACACTCTCTGCTTCCTGTCTGTGAGCCATGATTCGATCCACGAGAGCACCCTTCCCCCAATGCCATGAGCTGCTACTTTCTTCAACAGTCTTTGGTGCGGAACTCTATCAAATGCCTTACTAAAATCTAAGTATATAATATCAAATTCTTTATCGTGGTCAACAGCCTCAAAAGCTTTACTGAAGAAAGTTAATAAATTAGTTAGACAAGACCGGCCTCTTGTGAATCCATGCTGAGTATCAATAATCAAGCTATGCTTATCGAGATGGCTTCTTATAATCTGAGCTATAACTGACTAGTAATTTGCCTACAATTGAGGTCAGGCTTATTGGGCGGTAATTTGACGGTAACGACTTGTCACCTGTTTTAAAAATAGGAATTACATTAGCCATCTTCCACATATCAGACACTACACCTGTTTGAAGAGATAAATTAAAAATATTAGTTAATGGTTCACAGACTTCCATTTTGCATTCCTTAAGAACCCTTGAAAAAACCTCATCAGGACCCGGTGACTTATTTTGCTTCAGTCGGTCTATCTGCTTCACAACCATTTCACTAGTGACTGTGATGTTACATAATTTATCTTCTTCTGGCCCACTATAAAAATTAATTACCGGAATATTATTAGTGTCTTCCTGTGTAAAAACCGAGAGAAAATAATTATTTAAAATCGAGCACATTTCATTCTCTTTGTCAGTAAGATGCCCATAGTTATTTTTAAGGGGACCTATCTTATCTCTGACTTTTGTTCTATATACCTGGAAAAAACTTTTTGGGTTAGTTTTAGAATCCCTAGCAACTTTAATTTCATAGTCCCTTTTAGCTTTTCTTATCCCCTTTTTAATGTCCCTCTTAATGTCAATATATTGATTCATAAGATGACCCTCGCCTCTTTTGATACGCCTATAAATTCCTTTCTTAAGCCTTAGTAGATATTTCAGCCTATTATTCATCCATTTCGGGTCATTTCTATTAGATCTAATTTCTTTATAAGGGATAAACGTTCTTTGAGCAGCATGTATTGTGTTCAGAAAACTGTCATATTGATAGCTCTCTTCGTTACCCCAGTCAACAGATAAGTGTTCTCTAAGCCCATCGTAATCTGCTAAGCGAAAATCTGGGACTGTTACTGAGTTATCCCTACTATCATACTTCCATTCAATGCTAAATGTAATTGATTTGTGGTCGCTAGCACCCAGTTCCTCTGAAACTTCTAAATTATTAACAAGGGATTCATTGTTTGCCAGAACTAAGTCAAGCAGGTTATTACCCCTTGTAGGTTCTGTCACAAACTGCTTCAAAAAACAATCCTGAACTACTTCTAAGAAGTCGTATGATTCTAAATTCCCAGTCAAGAAATTCCAATCAATATGACTAAAGTTAAAGTCTCCTAGAATTACTAGCAAGTGTGTAATATTAAGATAAGCTACTTACCAAATCATTCTTTTCATTTTCTACAGAGATTCTTTTAGATTTCTCAACATCGAGCAAGTGTCGAGCATTTCTGAGTTTCATCTCCAAAGATTTGATCTCTTTCTGATGCTGCAAGGTTTGTTGTTGTAAACGCTGGACTTCAGCCTCTAAATTTTTTATATGAATGTGATATTGCTCTTGACCTTCCACAAATTCCAGGAATTCTAAAGAAATGAAAGCAAATTCACTGATAAATGCCAAGCACTGCATATACATCTATGGCTAATCAAGGAATTAAAATGAGTACATTGTTAATGTTACACAAATATATACTAACTGGCTGAGAATGTGAATACCAGAATTTATAATGCACATGTGATTTATATCACAAGTCTTAGGTAGTAGCTTGGTAGACAGCAACCACCCAAGGAGGTACTATCATCCTGCCAAGTGAGTGTGTAACTGAAGCCTTTAACTGTTTTACATGATGGGAGGATTACTGGTGTCTTTCTTCTGTCACACATACATACAGTATAAGATTTCAGGTACGTCTTGCCAAATTTACTTAGGTCATACTACACATGCATGTGCACGTAGAAGCATGTACACACACCCCTCTGGATTTTCTTCTCTTTTCTTACTAGTTCTTGTTCTTGTAATAATGTTGGTAGAATTACTGACAATGTGTAAAGGACACAAGTGCAACTAATGTGACATTTTTATTGTGGCAACGTTTCACTCTCCAGAATGACAAAGTTCCTGGAGAGCGAAATGTTGCCATAATAAAAATGTCACATTAGTTGCACTTGTGTCCTTTTACTTTACATAGTTCTAGTTATGGTTTATTTCCTCTTATCTCCTTGGGGATGTGGAACAGAATTCTTCCTCCATAAGCCATGCATGTTGTAAGAGGCGACTAAAATGCCAGGAGCAAAGGACTAGTAACTACTACTCCTGTATACATTACTATATTTATAGCAAGAAACTTTCATTTTTCTTTTTGGGCCACCCTGCTTGTGGGATACGGTCAGTGCGTTAAAAGTAAGAAGATTGTCACAAGTCCTAAATTAACCACATAACACATATATCAAACAAGAAAATGCTTAATTTGCCTTACAGGCTTCGAAATTTTAAGTACATACATGTACTTTGTGGAATATGTAGTACTGTAAACTGAAATAAGCACTAGATTATTAAAAAAAAAAAAGCATACATGTCTGTTCTCTCTACAGAAGAGAATCTTCTGATCTGTAAACTTATGTACCATTCTGCATAATAAAGTGCATATATACAGGTACAGTAAAACACCCATTTTTCAGCAGCTTTGGCTCCTAGGCTTTACCAGTACGTACTAATATAAATTTTGGCAGACCAACAGAGGTCACATAATAGGTTTGCCAGGATGGGTTCTAGCCTGGGTCTTTCCATGTGGTGACCCGGCATATTAATTTCTGTACTTATAAAGAATGCTGCAGTGCTACCACTCCCAGTGGTAAATTTTATAATTTTACTAGAAATGTGGAGCAAATCACAGAGGACGAAAAGTTGAGGGTTGTCAGGATTACTGTCAGTTTTAGAGTAAACTTTCATAACGGACCTGTGATATTACTGGGAGGCAGTGGCGGCTCGTCCATAGGAGATGCCGAGTTGCACTCCCCCCCCCCCCCCGAATGCTCAATGCCAGACATATGACTTCATCAATCTTACGCTAAAATAATTTGCAACTGACAAATATATTACAGGAAAAATCTGTTGTATGTTGTTTTCAATGTACAAGCGAATTTTTTTTTTTTTTTGGTTGAAACAAGACAAATTATTAAAAATAGAAGTCTGACGTGGTACGATAGTATAGGTACTACTGGTGGTACTTCTGGCAGCGAGAAGCTGCATTCGATGTAGCACACACCCAGTTACAATTGGAATGTTCATGCTGTGAGTATTTGCATTGTAACGCGTGGCCGGTATTGGTGACCATTTAAATTCTTTTCAATAGCGTTAAATTTAACTACCATTTGATAAACGATGGTAGTGGAAACTAGAGTAAACTCAGTGAAATATTCACAAAGTACTGTATTAACTTTTCACAGTTCGTTTTAAGTGAAAAAGTAAAGATATAAAAGAAAAAGGACAACATACACCAATTTTACCCATTCTACAAAAAAGTACAAGAAGGAGCACCGGTTTAGCGCCAATGTTTACCAGAAAAGTGAATGGCTTTGTGGCTGTGACAAAAAGAACACTATACTATTCTGTTTTCCATTCTTTCTATTTGGGGGGAGACTCATGGACAAAAAGTGGCTTGACTGACTTGAGGCATTTACCACAAAAAGTAATGAAACATGAGCAGTCAACCAAGCATATAAATAGCATTACTGATTTGTCAATGCTGGGTAAAGTAGAACAATGCAGCTCAAATTGATTCAGCATACAAGAATTTGATAGCAAAACACAATGAAGAGGTTGAAAAAAAAGAAATGTATTGCCCAAAATTATAAACTGCATACAAGTCTGTGGCAAATTTGAGCTCCCTCTCACAGGGCATGATGAAACCTCGAGCTCCAAAAATCCAGGTGTATTTCAAGACCTAGTTGATTTTGCCTGTAGTTTGAATTCTAGCTTAGATGCTCATATAAAAGTGTCTAAAGGAACATCAAAATCAATACAAAATGAACTTTTAGAATCTATATTAGAAATTTGCAAAAACAAAATTATTACTTTAATAATGTTTATTATGCTGTTCTATGAAGCATGCAGTCACGTAGTCACCCCCATTCTATTTTTTGACGAGCTGCCACTGCAGGGAGGGCATCTTGTACTTGAAGTTAAAACAAATAGGATTTTCTAATGAAGGTCTGCTGCTATAACACATTCTTTATGGCTATAGTATTAAATATTTAATCCAAAGGTGATCCATGTACTTTGATGTTCCTGTGTGTAATTTTTCATGCATCAAATAAAAATTCTTTAATTCACCTGACAATTCATATAATTCATCAATAGCCAGAGCTATTGACAAGTTACTCATATTCCTATTAACCCTAGCCATAGCTATGATTAACTGTTAACAAGATACTCTTAAAATAGTGTAAAAATCAAAGGATCACCACCAACTGCAGTGTAAAAAGTGTGAATTATATACAATGCCATCTGAGGCTGCCTAGAAAACTAGTCTATCAAAAAATTACTAATCCCATAATTGTGTATAGACAAAAAGAGGTGCCAGACCATCCATTGCCAGTAAATGTGTGTTGTACCTGTACATAATTATGCATGAAAGATGGCATGATAGGAGATGCAGAACATTCAAACTGCCTTGAAGAGATCTCAGCCTTTTTCCTTGAAGCAGTTTTATTTAATTCCCCGAGGCTATGGGTTCCCACCCCTGCACCTAGAGTACCCCATTGTGTAGCAATATTAAAAATTTCCAAATGATAAAGGAAAAGTAATTTATGAACATGCACAAGTAGATGCTGTGTTTTATTTGCAAACCACCACTTACTTTCCTCTGCTGGATCAGCAAGGACCTGCATGCATCTGATGAGGTCATCAAAATGGGCTGTTAATGACTCCATATTGCTCTTGATTTCTGATGATCCACCAATATTTCTGAAAACATGTTAAAATAAACCTTTTAGATGGCGAATAATAATGGTATATCCATATTAGAACAGCGCAGAATTTTTCCTACGAGCTAATGACCAAAAAATCAAACTTACTCTACACAGTATTACTGCAGTACAATAGAGTATTTTATCCTACTCCAAGCCAAATTAATTCAAAACTCTTTAACCTTTGACTGAGGCTCAACTAAAATTCAAGGAAAATTTATTATTAAGTATTTATTGTACTGTTACCTATAGTCTGCCAGATGTGTATATAATTTCAGGAGAATTGTGCACTTTGCAATAAAAGTATGAAACTTTATAGATGTGATTACTGGAACCCACTAGGGTTCTCACAACTCATGCCTCCATCAAGGATGTTTTTTGAAATGGTAGTTGCACACATACTCAAGTCAACAACATGACAGTAAGTAGATAATTATAGAAATGGTAATAATGATATTACTATATTAATAATTACAGTATAATTAACTCAAACAATTCTCACAATTTCACAACTGTTGGATTTTTAATTCTTGTCAATGTCAAAGGTCAAATTGTCAACACAAGCTACAACGAGGTAAGAAGCTCTACTTTCACTACAGTACTTCTCATTAGTGTCTTATTCTCTCTGGAATCAGATCAAAGTACAACTAATGACTGTCAAACAAGCTATGAGAATTAGTGTTCTATAAATGTGTCCTTGACATTTCAGCTAATCTTTGCAACTCGGCAATCTAGTACACTGAGAATGTTTGAGCAGTGTATTCACCATATTCGAACTGGGTGTTTTCACAGCTTTTATGTAGATAAAAGCCTTAGTTCAATAACTTCCCAAAATACAGTACATTATACAATACTGATAAGTTAATGAATAAGACATGTGCACCACTTGGGTATCTTTACTACCAAAACATTTCCCACACAAGACAGGCTGTGTAGGTGAAAATGATACCCAAATGGTGCACACATGTCTTATTCATCTACTTAAGATTTTGTTTGGATTCTTAACTCAGAGGGTTAGCCACCCAGGATAACCCAATAAATTAGTACATTGTTAGAGACTGTCAGTCTTATTTCTGATGGGAGTCATTAACTCTTACCCCTGAAGGGGAGAGATGTTCTTTGAAAACCGCTTGGTCAAGTGAACTTCTGCAATGGAAGATAAGATCAAAAAGTTTCCCCTCTTTTAAATACTCCTCAACAAATCAAGTCCAGGAACAGAGTACATATACCACTCTACTTAAAGATAACTGATTTTTCTAGGCTCTACATAGCCTCCCAAGCATAATATAAATTTGCCCAATGGTTCTGCAGCAATGATGGGACAATACTAAAATTTTTGCCAACACCAATACTCAATTTTTGGCAGATAACAATAACATGAAAATTAGCTCACCCCTATCCTGAAAGCACAAATACTGCATTATACCGAAGGGGGACCATAAACCCATAGGGATCATACAATACCTGGAGGAATGGGAGGCCATCAAATTCAACCCAAGGAGGGAACAGATCCAATTTCCTGGATCAATAGCTCCTCACAAGTACCAAGGAACATCCCATGAGGTGAATATACATTGTATTCATATATGTACTACACAGTACATGGAGAAAAGCAAAGTTTCTGACTTTTCAAATTACCATCAAGTTATTCACATGGCAGGTTCAACAACATATATTCATGAGTTTTGCAACAAAATGTTTAGGCTAGGTTAGGCTGGTTAGTTTTGAGCTTGCAAACAGTTTTTCCCATATAGACATATCATAGAACTCTTTACCAATAGGTAATTTCAATCTTCTAAGTGATCAACAACTTGGGAAAATCAGCGAGATCATTTTTTTTACAAAATATTACAAACACTTGTCTTGTCAGTAATACCTAAAGACAGCTCCTCAGTTGATTCTGGAGATTTAGTAGTTTAAAATGTATAAAATTGGGTTAGTTTTTACTTTTCACATTATTTTGTTGTGCAAATTGTAAGAAACATAATTGGTTGGCAGTGTCCTCAGCTCGCAAACCGAAATACTAAGATCACTTCCCAGCACAATTAAAACATTAAGATAAAAGATGTGATTTATTGGGATTTTTAATCCAGTGTTAGCCACCCAGGATAACCCAAGAAATTCAGTGTGCCATCGAAGACTGTCTTATTTCCATCAGGGTCCTTCAATCTTGTCCCTCAGGATGCAACCCACACCAGTTGACAAACACTCGGGTACCTACTTACTGCTAAGTGAACATGGACAGCAGGTGTAAGGAAACATGCCCAACACTTCCACCTGTGTCAGGGATCAAACCATGGACACTCGTGTGTGAATTATCATTATAATCAAAAAGAAGCGCTAAGCCACAAGCCTCGCGTGTGAAGAGAAAGCACTGACAACCAAGTCATTAGGCATGTTAGGCAAGTTACCTTGAACCTGCTGCCTTTGTTCACCTAGCAGTAAGTAGATACCTGGGTGTTAGTAAACTAGAGTAGGTTGCATCCTGGGGAAACAAAATTAAAAGACCCCAAGGGAAATAAAACACAGTACGCAATTATATGAAATTATAATAAAGTTGGTAGAATTACCGACAATATGTAAAGTAAAAGGACACAAGTGCAACTAATGTGATATTTTATTGTGGCAACGTTTCGCTCTCCAGGAGCTTTATCAAGCCATTACAAACAATACATACACTCTGTGTGTATTGTATTGTTTGTAATGGCTTGATAAAGCTCCTGGAGAGCGAAACGTTGCCACAATAAAATGTCACATTAGTTGAACTTGTGTCCTTTTACTTTACATATATGAAATTAACTGGGTTTTCCTGGGTGACTAACCCTCAGAGTCAAAAATCCAAACAAATCTCTTATTCTCTCTTCACCCCAGAATAATGTAATATAACTTAACCTTACTCTGCCATTGGTCTTTGTTCACAACTGTTGTGACTGTTCAGGCTGACGGGCCTCTCATCCTAAATATTTTAGCTAATATCTCCCAAAATAACAATCTGATTAAGAAATAACTGTTTATTCCAGTGTAGTTTGTATGTAGTTTAACAGAAAATAATTAAGAGTTCCGTCAAGCAGTCTTCAACTATAACTGCAATATTATCAAAGATCTTTAACATTGTAATAAAAAAATCAAACCTCAAAAATAAACCCAAAAGGATCATAAGCACCAACCACTTAACAGCTTGACAAAGCTCCTGGAGAGCGAAACGTTGCCACAATGAAATGTTGCATTAGTTGCACTTGTGTAGTTTTATTTAACGTTATTATACCTTACATCTAATGTCATATTACTTGGATCAGGAGCCAAGCGTCAAGGAGCCTCCCTTGAGGGTATATTAAAAACACACTTCCTCTAGTGGCTAATAAACTCACGAGGAAGCGCTAAAACCACAGGGACCATACATTCGTCCTCTACCTGCTTTGCAATTCTCAGATGACCGACATATATACATAAAATCCCCACACTACCACATACACTGGTGATACTCACATGCCCCAGGCTGCGAGGAGCAACAAACTTACTAAAGACAAACTCAAAGAGCAGTGAGTTATTCTTTCAACATAAAAGTAACATTGTTGACGACACCTCCACCGCCTCAGCACAACTTCATACCTTCCCGCTGACGTCTATAAACTTTCCACTGGTGAACCTTCCCTCACACTCGCCTCATAATACCAAAAATAGCATCATAAATATCAAATCCGAATTTTTATAGTGGAGATCCTGGCGACCAGAAGCGTATCGGATTCTCTTTGAATCCCTTTCTCCTGTACTCTATAGTCGTTACATTCAAACAGAAAATGGCGCCTGTACTCAGCGTAATTTAAAACGTCTAAATTCCAATTAATCACAAACTTGATAAAAGAAGAATATTCAAATATTCAAATTATAAGTACCACCTCAGTATGAAACAAACAAAAATATTCGCCTAACCCTGCGGGTTTTCCGTTTTTATAATTTATTCGCATATGATAAATAAGTAGAATTATTTCCAATTACTGCATTTGAAAAAATATATAACAATCAAAATGCCCATATATACAGAATATATTTCAGTAACAATGTAACTATTTAACAGGAGGAGCCAAGTGGAAATAATTCACACTGACTTTATTAAGCTACATTATATTAAGACTATTTAGGCCTCATACATAATATTAAACTTTTGTGATAAGTTCACGTAATAAATTATGTTATAACTTAACTTTATTAATTATGCACCCCATACCAATGGTGTGGGTGGAAGTTAAAATTACAGAGGCACATAATGGGTCCAAGAGCTGGAGTACCTCTGTAATACTAAACTACCGCCCACACCCTGGGTAGGGGGGGGAGCATAATAAAGATTGTAGATGAATGGTTCAGAGAACCGACATGTTGAATTAGACACATGTGCAACTCTTGGGTATTCTCCTCCCGTTCTTCAAGTTTCTCCTTTGTATGGACTGATGAAGCCACTGTGTGGCGAAACGTTTCCTCAATAAAGATACCCAAGAGCTGCACATGTGTCTAATTCAACAGCGTGTCGGTTCTCTGAACCATTCATCTACAATCCTGTCAGACACTGCAACTTCTTGGGATCTTAAATACTTGGGAATTCTTCACTTGGGCACGACCTACTTCCACATTGAACAAATGTGACACCACCTATGACTGCTGCACCTCTCCTGCCATACGGTTTATAAGCTGCTTCTCCGCTCATATGCCGTATTCTATTCAAGATTGATGGACTGACCACATCGACTCAAGGTTGAGGGAGTGATTGCCTCATTCTCCTCCTGTTCTTCAAGTTTCTCCTTTGTATGGACTGATGAAGCCACTGTGTGGCGAAACGTTTCCTCAATAAAGATACCCAAGAGTTGCACATGTGTCTAATTCAACATAATAAAGATGTTTGACTAATTAAAGTTCGGTCGTAACATAATTTATTACGTGAACTTATCGGGAAAGTTTATGTATGAGGCCTAAATAAAGTCTTACTAACTTAATTTGCTGAATTACTTACCTTACTTTTACTTACCTTGTAACTTACTTTTGCTTGCCTTACTTACATTTACTTCTTTACTGTGGAAAATTGCATTTATCTGAATGTAACTAATTATGTACATAACAGTAAATGATAACAAATATAATTATTATTTATCAATGTTACAGAGACAAGTAGGAATTTGGGACACCTAGGTCGCAAAAAATGTCCCCCTTCGATACCTACCACTGTCATATCCACAAGTTGCTCTGGACCTATTAATTAAATGAAATATACATACACCAGGAATACTGGTAAATATATAAATTTGTGGACTGTATATTAAAAAATGATTATATATAAATTCACATATACATAACAGAAGGAAAATATATCTTAATATCACTCACCAATTTGACTGGATATTAAGTTGTATCATACTCAGAAAAACCTCACTAACTAAATTAATGAAAACACTGCTGGCCAGAATTATACACAAATCTAGAGAGCTTATCTGAGGTTCCTGGAGCTGTCTTGTCCAGTCGTCTGATATCTCAAGTTATGCAGGAATGCACATCCAACAATTTCGTCTCCTATTTGAGAGGTGTCAATCCAATTTTAACCTCTAAAGCATGAAAAATTCTTCCCATTATATTAACGTTGTATCCAATTCAAAACCAAGATGGCGAGTCTCCTACGCAGACGCAGGCTTTCCATTTTCTATGACATAAATATTATTAAATACAGTATGGCCATCTATTTACATATAAATACTGAATTTCTGGAAAATATATACAGTATTTCCCACATTTACTTTACTTACTTTGACTTGCTTTTTAACTAGCTAACTTTACTTACTTACTGTGGAAAATTGCATTTAGCTGAATGTATCATTATATACATAACAGTTTACCTGGAGTTTACCTGGAGAGAGTTCCGGGGGTCAACGCCCCCGCGGCCCGGTCTGTGACCAGGCCTCCTGGTGGATCAGAGCCTGATCAACCAGGCTGTTGCTGCTGGCTGCACGCAAACCAACGTACGAGCCACAGCCCGGTTGGTCAGGAACCGACTTTAGGTGCTTGTCCAGTGCCAGCTTGAAGACTGCCAGGGGTCTGTTGGTAATCCCCTTTATGTATACTGGGAGGCAGTTGAACAGTCTCGGGCCCCTGACACTTATTGTATGGTCTCTTAACGTGCTAGTGACACCCCTGCTTTTCATTGGGGGGATGTTGCATCGTCTGCCAAGTCTTTTGCTTTCTTAGTGAGTGATTTTCGTGTGCAAGTTCGGTACTAGTCCCTCTAGGATTTTCCAGGTGTATATAATCATGTATCTCTCCTGCCTGCGTTCCAGGGAATACAGGTTTAGGAGCCTCAAGCGCTCCCAGTAATTGAGGTGTTTTATCTCAGTTATGCGCACCGTGAAGGTTCTCTGTACATTTTCTAGGTCAGCAATTTCACCTGCCTTGAAATGTGCTGTTAGTGTGCAGCAATATTCCAGCCTAGATAGAACAAGTGACCTGAAGAGTGTCATCATGGGCTTGGCCTCCCTAGTTTTGAAGGTTCTCATTATCCATCCTGTCATTTTTCTAGCAGATGCGATTGAATGATAACAAATGATAACAAATTCTCACTACAGGCAGCACACTCCACCAATATTCAATACACTAAACCTACTCACCATACAAAACATCCATACTTATTACTGCACCTATTACATACATAGAACACTTAACTCTGATATTAACCCTCCCCTCAAACATCTCCTTGCCAACCTCAACAGAACACATGACCATAACACAAGGCACAGATCACTCTTTGATGTTCCTCGTGTTCATCTCACACTATGCAAAAACTCAATGCACATAAAAGGCCCTAAAATCTGGAATTCATTACCTGTAAATATAAAAGAACACTTCCTGTTTATAAATTCAAGTCTTACTCAAAGATCACTTACTCACCCAAAACCAAATAAATACTGAATAACTGAACCTTATAAATTGTATATCTTAAATGTTTCTCACAATTATATCACATAAATGTTAAACCTAAAACCCAATCTAACTTTATTATTTTTTAAATACACTACCTAACAGAATCCTTCATATGACCTGTCTTTGTAATACTCACTTGTGCTTTATAGTAATCTGTTTACATTAATGTTTTATCACTGACTTCATCATTGCTTAATTAATCTTAAGTTAATTTTAAGCCAGCCCGTAATGCTATGCATAGTATAAGTGGCTTTGGCATACTGCTCTTATCTGTATTTTTTTGTACCTCTGTATGTGTGCACAAATTTATAATAAATAAATAAATAAATAAATAAATAAATGGTCCTTGAAGGTGAGATCCTCCGACATGATCACTCCCAGGTCTTTGACGTTGGTGTTTCGCTCTATTTTGTGGCCAGAATTTGTTTTGTACTCTGATGAAGATTTAATTTCCTCGTGTTTACCATATCTGAGTAATTGAAATTTCTCATCGTTGAACTTCATATTGTTTTCTGCAGCCCACTGAAAGATTTGGTTGATGTCCGCCTGGAGCCTTGCAGTGTCTGCAATGGAAGACACTGTCATGCAGATTCGGGTGTCATCTGCAAAGGAAGACACGGTGCTGTGGCTGACATCCTTGTCTATGTCGGATATGAGGATGAGGAACAAGATGGGAGCTAGTACTGTGCCTTGTGGAACAGAGCTTTTTCACCGTAGCTGCCTCGGACTTTACTCTGTTGACTACTACTCTCTGTGTTCTGTTAGTGAGGAAATTATAGATCCATCGACCGACTTTTCCTGTTATTCCTTTAGCACGCATTTTGTGCGCTATTACGCCATGGTCACACTTGTCGAAGGCTTTTGCAGTCTGTATATATTACATAAAAGTAAATATTTACCTTGAGATTAAAGAAAATGCAAATAAAATTATTTATTTCACCAGCTTGATTCTAAACATGTGTGGAGATGGTGATAACGCGGGAAAGAATATGTCAGAGAGAACATGCAAGAGAGAAGCATAACCAAGTCAGAAGACATAACTCAACACAGAATTGGAATCCCTGTGTAGATGAGAGAAGTGACATGTTGTTAGTACCTTAGGATCCACACCAAATATTCTCTTTAACTCTATATAATAATAATAATAATAATAATAATAATAATAATAATAATAATAATTAAAAGGCCGTGCGAGTGTTTTACTGACGATTCATTTGATAGGTACAATTAAGTTGAATATTACATAACACGTACAAAAATGTGTGTTAGGTCTCTTATTTATTCCTGGGAGGCCCAAAAGAATCCCAAGATGTAACAAACGTTTCCCCTCTGGATCGCAACACAGATGCTGTACCAGAGCCTCTGGTTAGAGTAGATAAACCTGCAGTCAAGTTCTTTTAAAATATTTTTAGTTCAAAGTGTCGCATGCAGGTGCCAGTGATGATGATCAAGGCTGCTATACTGGGTGAGTTTATCTGTTTCCCTATGATCAGGAGCACTACACTGATGGCCAACACAAAATCGGATGCAGGTGTCAGCCAGAGTAGATGCAAGTGTATGGTCACACATCAGTTGCCTGCCGTTCTTCCAGTGATGTGATGTAATATGATCCCATAATTTCAGTCAGCAGGGTTATCAAGACTGTGAGACCAAAGGAACCGAAGTTCTCACGGTCAGGCAC